CCACTGAAATTTCACATCTATTTTGTCTTAGTGCCTCATTCAAAGCTTTGAATTTCACATCCTGTTATTCAGTGTTTCCTAATTTGTGAGAGTGCAGTTAGGTGATATTCTAAATACCTTAACTCTGGGCATTGTTTCAATCATCTTTTTTGACTAGGACATAGCTGCAACTGGAATTCTTCACCTTTACACTTCGTGTTTTTTGCTTTGTAGAATTTATGAATTTTAGTGTTTGTTTTACTTATGATATTGGGATATGATGCTCAAATCTTTGCAGTCAAGGTGTTGTGAACAGGCAGATCCACCCGGAAAATTTTCTAGTACATTTTGGGTGGGTCTTATATGTAAGACATAAAACACTCTCAAGAAATAAACAAGGTTACTCATTGAGCCCTATAAAGAAAACAATCGGTTTCTCTTTCAAAAAAGCCACCATGAGTTACTATGAAATGCGATCATAATAATAATAGTGGACTAAATCAAGAAAGAATAAAAAATATGCATCCATGAGAAGATTAACCCTATTAATCCTTTTTAAAAAGTTTACTCTGTGAAATATTTTGAGATACCATGTTGTCTACGCACACGATTCTAGTGGATGTTATGAAGACTATTAAGATTCTGCAGGCTGGACTGGCTTCTGTAGTAACTACAAATATTCAGGGAACGCACAGCTAATAAAAGAACAACCTAGTACTCCCAGGAGGGTCAAGTCCTCATGGCCTGTGAGGATAATAAATAGATTGGAGACATTGGGATTGAAGAAGAGATGTCCTATGTAATCATACCAAAAAGGCATGTCCGTTGTGGTACAAAACAGCACTTTTCATTTTCTGAGAGAATACATAATTTATGTATTTGGTTTGTTTGCTTAGTGTCAGTCTCTCCTACTAAAATGAGTTCCACGAATGTAGGGAGATTCTGTTTTGTTTTCTGTTGTATGTTCAATGCCTGGCACCTAGTTCATGAAAGGTTGATCTAGTCAAAGAGCTAAGAAGAAAGGGTGAAAGTATGGGAAGGCAGATTTTTGGCTCAATACACAGGCTTTTGTAATGACGTATATTATCTGCAGGCTGGGCCAGTAAGTCGTGCCTTCTCTAGAGCTACAGCTGGATCAAGCTGACTGTTGGGCTGGGACGTTTTGGAGGCTGACACAGTGGGGGGTGTACGGCCACTAAGTTCATTTCTACCCTTGTGGTTCTGAAGATGGGCCTTTGCCAAAGACTTGACAATGGAGGGAACCCAAGATGATGACATTGTATTGTGAGTGATGATAACTAATTAAACTTGGGGTATGAAAGATTAGGAGTCAGAGATGGCACTGGTACTCCCAGCTTCACTATTTTGGTACCACTGAAAGGAAAAACTGAAGTTCAGTAGAAATGCTGGTTTGTGGGCAAATGTTAAGCAACGGTCATAAATTTTGAGTTTAATGTGTTAGTGGATCACACAGGAGACATCCAGAAGGTGATTATGTTCAGGCAGAGATGGAGCTCAGGAGAGGCTGAGGTATGTCATGCCTATTTATTAGAAAAATCCACACCCCTCTCTCCAGGAAGGTATCCGAAAATGTTGCTTAAAAGATGCCATAGGGGACGCCTGGGTGGCTCAGTGGGTTAAGCGTCTGCCTTTGGCTCAGGTCATGATCCTAGGGTCTTGGAACTGAGTCCGGCACTGGGCTCCCTGCTCGGTGGGGAACCTGCTTCTCCCTCTGCTGCCGCTCCCCCTGCTTGTGCTCTCTCTGACAAATAAATTAAATCTTAAAAAAAAAAAAGATGCCATAGGTAAGTAGATCATTTAGCTATAGAATTTAATATAATTATGTAGAATGTAGGTATTATAGTTTCATTTCACAGATGAGAAAATAGAAGACCAGAGTGACTTTTTTGCTTTTTGGGGCCAGAGGTCTAACTTGAATCCCTGTCTTCAGAGTCTGAGCGTGAAGCTATTTCTCCAGTGTTCTGCTTCAGGGAACTGAGAGTCACCAAAATGAGACTCCTCACAATGGGACGGACTAGCTGGTTGCTCATTTACAGTGAGAGTGTCCACCACTTGTCCTTGACTCAGCTGTGCCCACACCCCCTCCCCAATTCCAGTTCCAGCGCTTACCACCTGCTACCAGGAAGCCTCACCATAAAACTGCAAGTTAACGATGGTTGCATCTGCCAAACTTTCTTGGATGGGCTAGTATAACGAGCTCCCCAGTACAAGGCTATCACGCCTGGGCTCTTTTTCCCCTCCTCTAGTGATGATGTTCACTGTGAAAGCTGCTAATGGGTAGTCAAGTGCAATGGCTTGGGATCTGGGAGAAAATGAGCTCAACAGGGAACCATGAATAAGTTGTTAAAGCTAAGTGGAAGTGAGAAGTGGAGGGAATTTGGAGAGGCAGCTGAGGAAGGCATTGGGGAGAACTGAGGCGACATGGGGTGAATTCAGTGAGAATACAGCTTCAGGAGAGCATTATGTCCAGCGACAGAATTACAGCACCTTTTTGTACCCTGGATTGACTTCGGTGGGCAAAGAAGGGAGGGGTTACAGAAATGCTGGGGGAGCCAATGAACTAGGAGTGTTTTCTGGAAAACTAATTTCCTGTCTCACATGGCTGACAACAGCACCTGCTATACTCTCACAACATTTTGTGTGAAAGCTAAGTTTTATTTGCTATACAAGAAAGGCTGGCCAGTAACTGCCCAGCACCCACAGAAGGTGGAGATTGGGTCAATTTTTATTTAACAGGACTGTGCCTTGCATTGGAAAGCTGAAGGAATAGAGATTCAAGGGTTGTGGCTTTTTTTTTTTTTCTTTTCACTTGCAATTTTTGGAACTGTAATTCAGCACTACTGGATTAGGGCATATTCTATCAAACTAAAAATCCTAAGCTTTCCTATGGAAAAAGTCTCAATGTTATAGATGAAAGAGGTGACAGCTGCATTACTGCTATCAAAAATAATTTATTAACTTGTCTGTGCAAAATACTCTGGTAGGCCCCAAATCCCAGGAGCTTCGCGTTTCAATGCATCCTCTGCTCTCTGCAGTCTTCTCAGCGTACTGTTCGGCTCTCCACCTGTGAATAAAATGGATACCTTGAAAACTTCATCTTTGTGGAGGCTGTTAACAGTACAAGAGAACACTGGTTCCTGCATCGGTGCCAATCTTACAGTGCTGGGGAGCTGTATAGGAGGCTGTCATCCTCAACTTCTCATTCTCCGAGCTTGTAAATAAAAACATCTTTCCAGTTTCCACTTTAGACCAGGAAATCTGGGGAGAGTTGACAAGCGAGGTTCTGCATCATCAGCATAAAGCATGCTGATGCTGGCTCTCTAACCCTTTCCTTCTTCTTCTCCCAGTCCCCCGGACTCCCAGGTAGGTCCCACACCGCACCTGAGATACAGGTACACCGACGCCTCTCTACCCAAGGTAAGAAACCAGCAACGCACCCCAAATCTTTCTAAATTTTACCTCTCACCATCAGTTGTCATGTGACAGGTGTACCTGTGCTTTCATCTACATTTAAAGGCAATACTTTGTTTTTTAAGATAAGTTGTTCTCAATCCGCTTGTAGATATCTGCCAGGTGTAACTGTACAAAGCTCGTCTGCTTCACCAGCATCTGTCTGAGGAACTCGGAGGAAAGGTGGCTGTCCATCGAGCAGCACCCGCCATCAGGCCGGGGAGTGCACAGACGCCCTCCCACGCGCACAGGCCTTGCTCCCTTGCCCCGCAGCGTCAGTCTGACCCCGCGGGGTCCGTTCGGGAGACGGGCTTACGATGGGTCTGGAGCTGCTTTTGCCACACACTTCCAAGTGGGGGTTTGCTTGGATCATTTATTTCTCTTGTGCACATTAAGAAACCACCATTAGGTGTTGGTGGGAGGCGCCACTCTGCCTGAAGCCCAGCCCGTCCGCCGCGGATCCGCGCACACCGCACCCGCCCGGCCGCCAGAGCTCGCCTGGAGCCACCTCCGGCCCGAGGTCCGCGTCGCCTGGGATCCCCGAGGCGGTCTCCTGTTTCACCTCCCCAAGCGTGACCGGGCAGCGGCGCCGGGGTGTGATTTCGATTCCTCTGCGGATTGTGGGGTTCCCTCCGCGGTGGGTCCGACAGCACCCGCCGTGGACGCCCCGTGCGCCCTCGGACCCGGGCTCGCGGCGGCGACGGCGCAGCTCGCTGGAGTTTGACTCTCGGGCGGCGGCGGCGCGGAGCCGCGGGCGGCGGGAGTGAGGCGAGCCCGGCCGCTCGCCCTCCGCGCTGCGCTCGGATTGGTCTCTCCCAGAGAGTGCTGGCCGAGGGTTGGCTGCGGGCCGGCTGAAGAACAGGTGCACCTTGCCGCCCGGGCTCGCGGAGCGCCGCCGAAAAACGCGGCGCGCCGGGCCGGGCGAACGGCAGCGGCGGCGGCCAGGTCGGCCCCCTGTGTCGGAATGCGGCTCTCCGGCGTCCGGCATCCTGCGGCCAGGCGGCTCGGCCCCTGAACGCGGCTCGAGGCCCAGCGGCGGCGCGGGCGGGCGCCCCGGGGACCGGGCCGGGCGCGGCGCCCCGAGGATGCCGGCGCGGCTGGAGCGCATGCAGGCGGCGGGCAGCGGCGGCAGCGGCAGCGGCAGCAGCAGCGGCAGCGGCGGCAGCGACAGCGGCAGCAGCAGCAGCAGCAGCAGCATCAGTAGCAGCAGGAGCGGGGTCCCGGCGCGCAGGAGGCCGCTTGGCGGGCTGCAGACGCGCCCAGCCGCTCCCTGACCGGCCGGCGGCGCCGGGGGCCCGTCTCGCCCCTCTTCCGCGCTCCTCGCCGCCCCCTCCCCGGCCCGCGTCCCCTCCCCCGCTCCTCTCCTCCCCGCCCGCCGCCCGCCTCTCGGGGGGAGGGGCGTGGGGGCAGGGAGCCGATTTGCATGCGGCCGCCGCGGCCGCTGCCTGCGCCCGAGCCCGCCGCCGCCGCCGGAGCCCGCGCCCGGTCGGCGCGGCCCCATGCCTCTGGCGCGGCCCTCGGGGGGGCGAAGGTGAAGACCGGCTCCTAGGATGAGTGAAGGTGCGGCCGCTGCCTCGCCACCTGGAGCCGCTTCGGCAGCCGCCGCCTCGGCCGAGGAGGGCACCGCGGCGGCTGCGGCGGCGGCAGCGGCAGCGGCGGGCGGGGGCCCGGACGGCGGCGGCGAAGGGGCGGCCGAGCCCCCCCGGGAGTTACGCTGTAGCGACTGTATCGTGTGGAACCGGCAGCAGACGTGGCTGTGCGTGGTGCCTCTGTTCATCGGCTTCATCGGCCTGGGGCTCAGCCTCATGCTCCTCAAATGGATCGTGGTGGGCTCCGTCAAGGAATACGTGCCCACCGACCTGGTGGACTCCAAGGGGATGGGCCAGGACCCCTTCTTCCTCTCCAAGCCCAGCTCCTTCCCCAAGGCCATGGAGACCACCACCACGACCACTTCTACTGCGTCCCCCGCCACCCCCTCCGCCGGCGGCGCCGCCTCTTCCAGGACGCCCAACCGGATTAGCACCCGCCTGACGACCATCACGCGGGCGCCGACTCGCTTTCCCGGGCACCGGGTGCCCATCCGGGCCAGCCCGCGCTCCACCACCGCACGGAACACTGCGGCACCCCCGACGGTCCTGTCCACCACAGCCCCCTTCTTCAGTAGCAGCACGCCGGGCTCCCGACCACCGGTGCCAGGAACCCCCAGTACCCAGGCAATGCCCTCCTGGCCCACTGCGGCATACGCTACCTCCTCCTACCTTCATGATTCTACTCCGTCCTGGACCCTGTCTCCCTTTCAGGATGCTGCCACCACCTCTTCCTCCTCCTCGTCTTCCTCTACCACCACCACGCCAGAAACAAGCACCAGCCCCAAATTTCGTAAGTATACACGGGGTCTGAACTCTGATTTACTACTGACTTTCCTTTTTGCCCTCCTGCTGTCTTTTCCCTTCCGCCGCCTGTCTTCTAGCATCCTCCACCCCTCACCCCATTCCAGGTTTGGAGCGCTGAATGAGATAGTTAACCTGGCCGCAAGGGAGGAAAAAGGTGCGGGTCTGTTCGGGGTCCGTGTGCGGGCTGGGGGGCAGTAGGAAACCGAGGCAGATTGTCAAGCTCCACCCGGCCTACTTCAGTGGGTCCCAGACGAGAACAGATCTCCTAACTCCCTTCAAAGGGTTAACGCGAGCGCGATCTCTGCTCACTGCAGACCTGCTGGCGAGCTCCCGGATCCGGCTCCTATTGAGAGCTGGGGAGGGAGGGAGGGAGGGAGGGAGGCCTTCCCAAAAGCACTGAGCCCTTTCCCCGCCGGTAGGAAGAAGTGAAAGAAAAGCACATGCAAATTGACCGATGATAAACCACAAGGGGAAGTTGTGTCTGTGTGTGTGTGTGTGTGCGTGTGTGTGTGTGGGGGTGATTTGATGGAAATGTTGATAGAATGAAGCTGTTGACTTATAGCAGCCCTGACCCGGGCAGCGACCAGGAAGGAAGGGTTAATTGAAGCCATTGGGGGAGGTAAGGAAAGGAGGCGATCCATGGCGTAGGGCTAAAGTGATCACCACCCCCCTCCACCACGCCCGCGCCCCCCCCCCCCCCCCAGCCTGCCCATGGCCCTTCCTGGGTGTAGAGATTGATTCTGTGGTCGCCCAGAGTGAGTTAAGTAGGGGGAAATAGCAAGGGAGCCCTGCCGAGCTACCGCCTCTAGGGTCCTGACGGAGGAGGAGTTTTTTCAGCTGTCAAGCGTTTGCTTTTGTTCCTTTCCCAAAGGTGGGCTGTGAAACCTCATCTCCCTTCCCTCTGTGCCTGAAAAATATAAGGGGAATTGGACAGAGTTCTCTGCACTCCAGGGGGAGAACGTCCAACCCCTTTGAAACAGGTCACTCTGTGAATGTAGCATCTTTAGCCTGGGCGCGATTCCTGCCAGCCCTGGCCAGTTTACCCCAAGACTGATAGCTTTCTATGTATTTGTCTAGGTGGTGTATATTTTCTCTGTATTTTTACAAATGTTTTGTGTGACTAATTGACCTCCCACCCCCTTCGCCCCACCTTGCTCTTAAGGAAATGTTGGGAAGCTTCTCAGTCTGACTATTGATCAGGATATTGGAAACAGTTTGCAACCTGTGAAGGTTATTTAGGACAAACCCCCTGCCTGCCAGTTCAAGTTCTGTGCAAGCCTCTTCTCAAAAAGCTGTCTTTACATTGTATTTCTGTTTTGAGCTATAACATCTGGAGAGGAAGAGGGGTTATCATTAACTCTTCAGTAGGAATACTTGGCTTGCTTTCAGTCATCTGACAATTTTTCATTTCTCTGACCTGTGATCTTATTAACCTGGGTGTTATTTAACCCTTGAAACTTTTTTAAAAAAGGATTTAGTGCGTTTGTGGGTAAGGTCCAAGAGAGAAATTCCTTAATGCCCTGACTCTGGGAGAAAAAAAAAAAAAGATAAACTGGGAGTCAGAGAGAAGAGGGGAAGGAGGGAATCTGCCACAAACCAGAATGGCAGTCAAACACGATAACTTGCTGCTTCCCTCTCCTTTGGCTGAAGCAGTCATTTTTGAGAGCACATTTTCTCAGGAGGTGTTTAGAGGCTTCTCTCAGCAAATCTAGCTTGAGTTTTGTGGAGAATAAAGGATGTGCAGGTGTATGTATGGACATATTCAGTAGTTTGAAAATATCTATGTGTCTATCCTGAAGACCTCATATTTTTTATCTTTTGATGCAATTGATACGAATAATGGAGTGTGGATGTACTTCTCAACTGTATATGTGTGTGTGTGTGGGGGGGGATATTTCATGTTCTTTCTTAATTGATTTCCTTGTGGTGCATTCCGGAGGTCTTTAAAGAAAAGCCCAAGGTAATTCTTTCTACCTTTCCATGCTCCTTTTCTACATTCTGTAGAAGGGAATGGCAGCCTGTTTAATAAGTAATGATTATTGACAAGGCTCTCAGCCCCAAGGAAAAGGGGTGCGGGGAGAATCTGTAAATGGTGTCAGTGTTCACTTAGACATATAAGCAGCCTATGTTTTATCTGAGATCCAGCTCTTGCTATTTTTTAAACCTTCAACAAGGAGTTGAATTAAGGGATAAAACACAAGTATGCAAATCCAATAGAAACTGACCTGGTTTGCATATATCAACAAGGGAAATTTTAATGAAAGAAAGATTATGCAGTTTCCATAAAAGATGAATTTAAATAGTGAGGTTTATATGGTAATTTAGAGAAAAGGATAGTTTGTGTGTGTGTGTGTGTGTGTGTGTGTGTGTGTGTGTGTGTCCAAGATTGCAGGATGATTAACAAGGATATAAGGATTTCATTTGAGGGATTATTAGCACTGCTACTGTGGGCTGAAGAACGGCCTGAATGTCTTGCATTTTATTTTTCACTTGTTTTGATTATGTTACTAAAGTTCCCAGGAGAGAAATTCCCCTTTTTCCTAGTTCCTACTGTCAGACTTAAGTTTATTTTTTTTCTTCTTTTTCTCTTTCTTTTTTCTTTTTCTTTTTCTTCTTCTTCTTCTTCTTTCTTCTTTTTTAATGAAAGTCATGAATTATGTTGTAGCACCTGAGGACAGCTAAGGATGAGGCTCTGTTTCTTCAAGACTAAGTCACTGATTCCTTAATGGCTAGGGTTTTGCTCTTGAACATCTCAGGGCTTACAGAATGAATGTCTTTGTGTTTGTCTTAGGTCAGTCAGAAGGATCTTGTCTGTAGAGGCAGCACGTCTCTTTGGAGGAAAAGGGGCTGGTTCACTCTTGAATAAACACACTTACTGATGGGTAGTAGGCAAAACAAAAGCTATTTTTGTTATGCGGGAGGCTCACTTTAGAAGACTGTAATTTTCTGTTGGATTAAAGACAAAGAAAGATTGAATTTAAAAGGCAGAAGGAGGGGAAGGGCTTGAGGTTGACTCTTCTCTTGTCCTCTTCCAAGCTTTAGACCCTGAGCTGGACCAAAACTTTCTTCCACATTACTGCGATCTCTTGGGTTCCCAATTAGCTGCCCAAGACTTGCTTTAGCTTCAGATATTTTTTTAGAAGCAAATATCTTAAACGTATTGCCACCAGATTATTTCTCCAAAGACCTCTTCAAAGCATCTTGCCTCTGAGAAGGTAGATTAGTTCACAAATTTTTCAAGACAAATGAAGATTTACTATAGACAGGAGAGGAACAGTGATTTTGACCAGTTTACAAAGAGCCTTTTACAGCACAATGAATTGTGTTTTCAGACTTGAAATTTATATGTAGAGTGTTGACAGTGCCAGTCTGGATTGTTATTTTACTCAGCCAGAAGCCCTGTTTTAACAGTTCAGAGTTCAGAGTCATTGGCTAAATTCAGAAACTGAAGACAAGAGAAAGAACTACTTTTAATTGTTTAGTGTTAGGGCCCTATTTGGAAAGTGTATATTTAATTACAATAAGTAAGACCACAGATCTCAAATAGTGTATTTAGTGAAGAGGTAGATGTAGAATGTATCATTGATGTATAAACATGGTATGGGGGTGATTTTATTATAGCCAAGTCTATTTCATTGAAACTTTACCTAGTCATACCTGTTGTAATTTTGAAGACAGCCTTTGATAACACTATTTTCTTTTCTTTATTTAAATTTTATTTAAATTCAATTAATTAACAGACAGTGTATTATTAGTTTCAGAGGTAGAGTTCAGTGATTCATCAGTTGCACATAACACCCAGTGCTCATTATATCACGTGCCCTCCTTAATGCCCATCACCCAATTACCCCATCCCCCCACCCAAGACTGAGTATTTTCCTGTATTCTTTTCAAAAGATTCCAGTCTTTCAGTAAGAGTACTCTTAGTTGTTTTATTGCAGCCTTAAAAATAATTTGTTTAAATAAAATTACTTCTATGTATTGTCCTCTACTTAATGAATCCAAGCCTTCAAAGGAATTCTAGCATAGCAGGTCCTAACCCCACCAAAGTGGAGAGGTCAGTATTTCTTATGAAATTTAATTGAGAGCTTTTTGATGAGCACATGTTACAACCTGAATATGTTTTGATTTCCTTGGCCTTAATACAGGATTATGAAATTTTTCTGCTTTAATCAATTATACCTTGTGTTTTGCTCTTTAGACACATTGTACTTCATCATACACACACACACACACCCACCCACCCACCCACCAAAGGGCGCGGGAAGGTGTGGGCAAGGCTCTTTCTAGAGCCATTTTTAGTTTGCTCTTGGTGCATGAAGACAGTGTGGTTTAAGCCTTCCTCCTCTGTTCCCCATGACTGCTAAGGGATTGGTAATACTGTTGCTAATTGAGATGACCTTTTGCAGGGTTGATTTGTGAATCCATCCACCTATTGTATTTGTGCTCTATTTTCTGGATAACCTTTTTTAACACAGTGTTGATCCATAAACCAGTTAGAAAGGGGAAAAAAACAAACAAACAAACCCAACAAACAGACACTAGAAGCTGGTTTGTATTAACTTCTGTCTGTTACTTTTCCAAGTCCAGATTGGGCCATGAGCAAGAGTGCGGGTGCAGGGTGACTCAGTTCTGCCTTGGGAGGTCTGGTGTGCAGAAGAGCAAGTTCTCTCTTCCCTTGGGGATGCTTTCCCAGCTCTTTCTCCTGTCCAAAGCGTGATGGGAAGAAGTCAGATTTTCAGCTTGCTTCTTTTGTAGAAATTCTTTCCTCATAACCTCTCATATCTAGTGCCAAGCATATCTCGATATTCTATCTGGGATGTTGAAAATGGAACATGAAAGTTGGCCCTGAAATATATAAGAGCAAGGAAAGAGTCATAAATCTAAGTCTGTAAAAGGCATTTGAATTACTTGTGAATAGAACTGAATTTCATTTTTTTCCCCTTTGAATCTGTTTTTATCCTCAGACTTTTGTGTTGGGCGAAG